GTTAGGAAGAACAACCTTCAGAACACGGCCAAAGAGCCCTAAAAATCCACAACAACCAGTAAAATCTTAGTTCGGAATACCAGAAAAAGATAACAGGAACTATTCTGGAGAAATAGTATCACTCATGTTCATGACCGCCCAAACAGAATTTGTTTTAGAGCTAAAGCTAAAATGGAATACTGTTTTAAAGAACAAGCTTTCCAGATGTTACTATAGTTTAGATTATCTGAATCACAACCACCATGATGAATGTAAAGAGTAACAGAGAGTCAAATATTACTTGCAGAATGTCCTTCCCAAACTGACTCATGTATATATATTACAGAGGATAATGGGTTTTTCCAGTCTTGGAAGCCCTTTGTCTTCTAACTCAGGTCAGCTCCAAAGCTATTAAGAAGAAGGAAATCTTTGTCTTTCTTAGTGTAATTAGCCATCTCCCTGAAATCCTTCAGCCTGTTAAACCACTCATTATCAGTTCTGATACCATAAAATTACAGTATTTTTCATCCCATTACGCACGTCCATTTTCTCTCTCCCCAATCACTATAGTCCAGGGAACACCAACAAATATATGAAACTAAAAACTATGCAGTGGCTCCTTAACCATCAGCTTAAAAGCTTCTTTATTTTGGAGACAGATGGTGATCAGGGAGACTCTGACTTCAAAGAAATGTAATAGAAAAGTCATTCATTATTTCTTTCCCCCTGTGCTGAGATGTAGACATAAACCAGAGTTTAAAACTTACAGATCCACACAATATCTTTCTTTACATAAATATCTGAAAGAGCCACATGAAGCCTTTAGATTACTTTTGCAAGAATTCTAAAAGATGAAAAAGAAACAGAACATCTATTTTGGAGGAGTAAATAATATGGACATCTACAAATATATGAAGAAATGTATGTACACATTCCATACAGAAACTTCTATACAGTGGTGCCCTGCATAGCGAGGTTAATCCGTTCCAGATTAACCTTCGCTATGCGAAAACATCGCTATACATACATATATTTATACAAACTTTAAACTCAAGTTACAGAACAAAGCAGAAGGGACTGTTATTACAAACCTGAAAAGGTCTCCAAATTTGCTTCTGAGATGACTACATGAAACATAGAGATCATAGAGATAGGCTAAAATGCATCTTTCTGGGGAAGAGCATTCAGATGGATTTACAACATGTTTGACAACACCACATAATCTGTAGGAAGAAAAGAACATATTTCATAAAAATAAAAGCTTTTTGGCAGTAGACTGCTTTCAAACAAATGGAGAAAAATGTACAAATTAACATGGTCCTACGTCACTTTATACCAAATTCTATGGAAACAATTTCTCCCTTCATCTATCTATCGCATTAGCCCTGTTCAAGCCTACATTTTCAGAGACAGCTGAGAGAGTCAAGGGCACAGATTGCAGTTCCAGACCCATTTCTTGAACTCCCAACTTCCCCATCTTGATGGGGAAGCTTTCAAAATAGAGGCACCCAGATTCAAGGGGAAATGGTTACAAAATTGGCCATATCAAGGTTTCCAGTTTCTTGGAATTTTGTAACCATTTACTAATCAAAAAGACTAAAATGTGGCCTGTAGGCTTCACGCCTCCCCAAGATTTGAAATGTGCTCCCTCAGGGCCCCACCCAGCATCCTACCAAATGTAAAATGTTTTGAAAAGTATATGGCACAGAAAATCTCTTTTAGGTGGTATGGAATTGGGTGATTTTTGACATGTTTTTAGTGCTCCCCAACACCTCTATCCCCCATTTGTTGACATGTGCCATCAAGTGGCCTATAACTCATGGTGATCCTATGAATGAGTGAACTTGTTCTCAACTGCCTAGCTCCACCCTTGTAAACTCAAGCCTGTAGCTTCCTGGGTGTTTTCAGGAACAAACTTAAAACCCAGCTATTTGGGCAGGCTTTTCCTCCTGCCCTATCTTAATTTCTTATACTTTTGCCCTCTTGGATTTATAATATATGCTTATTGGTTTTATTGTTTTTAAATTTGCAAACCACCTTGAATAGAACTTTGGTCTAGATGGGTGGGATAAATAAATAAATATATCCCCCATATTCCACCAAAGTTGAATAGAAAGTATTTGGGAGTTACTAGAAGGCAGGTGGATACTTTTAAGTTAACATTACTCCACTTCATAAGAAAACAATTTGAGTGAAGCAGAAGTGAGAGCAGCCTTCCAAGTTAAGAGATGGGCATGTTCAGCCGCCAGATCTCTGCAAACTGCCCACTCCAATCTACAGCATTATATAATTCCATCTCCTTTGCAGGCCTCTTGCATCAGCACAGGAAACTGACAGTCGAACAAGGAAGACTGGAGCACATATTGTCCCCCCGAGTCCATCCACATTGTTTAAAAAAATATAACTCTTGAATGCAGCTATGTTCTATGTGAGAGAGAGTTGTGGAAAAGAAAAAAAATATTCTAGGTACTTTTCCATGTAATTGGAGTCCCTTTTTTTGGAATCCCATCCAATCATGAGAGAACTGCACTATGGATCTGCCTGCATTACTAATCTAGTAGCTTTATGTGTGGTGGCCTCTCGATAATAATCATGGGCCATCAAGTCAGTTCTGACTCTCAGGATTTTCCAGATAGAGAACACTCAGAAGTAACCATTTCCTTTTTCTGGGGGCCTCCTGGGGCTGTGCAGCTTACCTAGACAGGCTGGCTCTACTCACATGAGGCACTGTGGAAAATCAAACTCCCAACCTCAGGGTTCACAGTCAGATATCTAAATCACTGAACTATCCGGCCAGTGGCCTCTCAAAAAGCATCTCTAATAAACAATTAGCTGGTCCTAAAAAGAGTAACTTTTTACTGTCTAGGAAAATTAGTAACCTCCATTATCTCAATGTAAGTTATCACAAATTCCTATTTGCCTTAATTTACCCCTCCCCCCCAACAGCTTGCTAAATAGGTTTCCTTTGTGCAAACATAAGGATAACAGGATTCTGGTCAGTAAATAAAGCTGTGGCAGCAAACTGGCGTTCATTAACAACGTGCTGGTTATGTTCCTGGATAGGTATTGGATTGAACAATCAGGTTCACGTCCAGTAATGTTACAAGTGGCAATTTGCCACCATGACTTATTTGATTTCCCATATACAAGCATTAAAGCACCAACAGGATTCTAGTCATTATCTCTGGATCCTTCCTTTTCTTGAAGGGGTTTGGAGCACACAGAACACATTCACAGATGTATATATTTTTAAAATCTATGCAGGAACTAGCCATTTAGGTGAAAGATACTGCATCATGGAACTTCAACTCAATTTGTTGGGTAAAACAGCAATGAATATTTGTATTTTTATTGCAATTTTGCAAAGTTTGCATTTTCCACCTATACACTAATGCTAACATGTTCAAAATCTGTTAATACTTAAGAGTCTTAGAAAAACATTACCACTACAAACCCTTCAAAAACCTGAGCAGTTTGGTCTGGATTCAAAATGAGGCAAGCATGGTAATGTCTCAGCACAGCAACAATGCAAACACACAGCCCTGTTGTGTAACTTCCTGCCAGGCTGGATGACTTCAGCAGAAGCTCAGCTTCCACCACACTCAGCTCATTCAGCAGCTAAAAAACAAAAGCAGAAATGTTGACTTTAGAATCCTTCTCTATAAATTAAGAAGCACACATTATTTCCAAGAAAAAATCTTCACCCTACAATCACGTTATCTCGTTAAAGAATTTTACAGTTTGTCCAGATGACACTGTCTTTGATTTCTAGGCTTCCTGTCTTTTCATACTATTTTTTTTCACCTTATTTTAGTTTAAAAGGGACACAAATGCCCACATCACTTTGCTTTCATGCTGCCAGTTTATAACTTTTTGGGGTGAAGAATACTCTGAAATGTCTGCTGCTGTACAAAAACAGCTTTTTGAATAAATATACAGTGGTGCCTCACAAGACGATGTTAATTCGTTCTGCGAAAATCGCTGTCTTGCGAAAACATCGTCTTGCGAAATGCGGTTCCCCATTGGAATGCATTGAAATCTATTTAATGCGTTCCAATGGGGGGGGAAATCGCCATCTTGCGAAAACTGACCATAGGAAAACCGTTTTGCGAAGCGCAGACCCAGCTATCAAAATCGACATCTTGCAAAAAACCATCCAGAAAAAAAAACATCTTGCGAAGCACGGACTGAAAAATCATCTAGCAAAAATCGCCCATGGGAAAAACTGTTTTGTGAAGCGCAATAGTGACTGCAAAAACCCATCATCTTGTGAATTAACTGTTTTGCGTGGTAATCGTCTAACGAGGCACCACTGTAAATGGAAGAATACTAAGCAAAATTAATTACAGATAAATCTCTCTGCATTCAATGGAATTTAGTCCTAGGATTGTAGTTACAATTGTAGTTACAGTTAGGCAAACAGCAAAGTACTTCCCATATTCTTGCCACTTCTAGAAGGAAATGCTTTCATGCTTTTGTGCTGCTGTTCTAAAAAAATGTTATATTCACCATTTTACTTGTGAGTCTCCTCAAAGGAACTTGGCTTAAACCTGACTGAATGCTGCTGCCACAATGAAAATCCCTGCCAGCGTTGCTAACATTGGACTGGACATCATCACAGACTTGAGCAATGGTGCTGCCATGCCATGTTTGCATATTTGCACAGGGAACCATGTTCAAACAAGTGCAAAAGATGATCAGCATTTGCGCAAGAAAGCACTGGATATTTCCTTGCATGAGCTTGGAAAAAAACACTCCAGTTTGCAACTAATGGGAATTGTGCAAGTATAGCATTACTACTAGGTCCAGGGTCATTTTCATAAAATCGTAAAGCAAGCAAGTGAACAGCAAGCAAGCCCCATTACCTGAACAGCAAAATCAATAAGCCCATTGATGTTTAGAGCAGGCTCCATCAGATCAAATATAAGCTGGATGTGGTGAGCTAATGGAAGATGGTATGATGTTCCTGAAGCAAAACTTGTAATCTGTTCCAGAACATTGTTAGAGATCTGTTTTTCCAAAAATAAAACAAAAATAAAACAGAACCACAAATAAATGGAAGCGTTAAAGCAACCAAGACAATGCTATAATCATGGATTATGATTTGTGATTTTCGAATGCAATTTTGTCCTTCCTTTCTGGAATGGAAGGAAATGTTCTGGGTATGGGAGGAATCATTCTGTGGTGCAGGAGCGTGCTCTGGCATACACCTCCCAAGCACATAGATCTGTTGCAATTGTTGCCAGATTTCAGCTGTAACAGCTCCAGAAATTTTGGCTCACCACCAAATATTGGAAATAGTGACAGTGGTGTGACTATAACTACTCACTGCTACTGGAACGCTGACCCTCCTTGTCTTAGACAGTTTTTTTAAAGCCAACAGCAAATATAACAAGGAACAGTTTCAACATCTTTAAGATGGCAAAACCTCTGGAAACACTATAGGCTGTTCAAAAAATCTCTAATACAGTTTTTTTTAAAATTCATAGCATTTATGACTTTTTACTTAAAAGGATATGTTGCCCACAGTTTATGTAATGGAATTGTATATGCATTGTCAATACTGGGAAAAGTAAGCCACATATGAATGCAACTAGGATTCTCAACAGTTTAAAAATGACAGCAGTCATGCAACCCTAAGGCTTAAACTTCCTTTTCCTTCCTCCCACCAACCTTCCTCAAATCATTGAAAAGGGTCTCTTCATAGCTTGAGTGGCCTTTTTAAAAATCTCTGTCACACACCCCAAGTTTCCCCATCCTTCTGCTCCATTGGCATATTGTCTATCTCTGCTCCTATCTTTCCCCATTAATAATAATCTTAGAACTGCAGAACTAGAAGAAACCTTATGGACCATCAATTCCAGCTCCTGTCAAGGAGGCACAGTAAGGAATCAAACTCCCATCCTCTACCTCCGCCACTGGCTATCTAGCAGTTATTTTGCTCTATCTAATCCATGGCTGGTACATCATGGAAAACCGTTTTTATTCCCCACTCTGACTTCTGACCTGTCCATATATATCTTCTATTATGGTAGATTTATAACTAAACTCAACAATGGAAAGATCTATAATTTTATAGTGAAAAGTACCTGACATGTCACTTGATGCTGATCAAAATATGAGAGCTGCTGTAGTTTTGTAAACACATTTTCTAAACTGGGGAATGCTTCTTGCTTGTTCTTTCTGACTTTCTGCCCTTCATCTCCAGCTAAAACAAATATTTTTTTAGATTGGTTATATTTCTGTAATGGTTTATACAGTTCACCATCATTAGTACTTCAAAAGCACAGCTCATGGCAAAGTCTAATCCAACAACAAGCATTTTGTGAATCCAAAATGTAACAAGTATTTATTATTTTATTTGTTTGTTTAGAGAAATAAATATTTATTAAGGCAACTAAAAATAAAATACCGATAAACTAACACATTTTCATTAAAATGCAAACCTCAGATATTTAATTGCATAAAACCTGCAACTGTAATTGCATGCAACCTTTTAGGAAACCTAAAAGGACATAATGCATTTGGTAAAGCACCTGAAATGATGCATTTTTTTTAAAAAAAATCGTGTCTATTGTGATTTATTTATTTCTCTAAAATTCTTCCCACACTTAGCTTCAGCAGCAACATCTAAATTTTTATTACAAATCTTACTGATACATCACAAAGCTTATTGAAATCCTATTGTTTAGCATAATAAACAGCAGTAGAGTAGGCCCACTAACTCACTGGGGATTTGGTGAGTCTGTTCTTCTGTCACTTTCATGATTGAAATGGGTCTAGTCTAGTTGCATTTGACTATGCTATGCAACAGGATTTCTATCAATCTGTACTTCAAATGTTCAATACTGTCATGAAAAAAGCCATACACACAGTACAAAAACATGATAAACAATCAGACTATGCTTCTGTTGAACAGGAGGATTAAAACGGTTAAATCATGTGTTTAAGGAGCTTCCATCCTCCAAGCTTTACCTTCTTTGTGTGCATTTCTGACCATAGAATCAGTATTTCTTTAAGTTTTTCTATACAAATTGGGCATGAACTTTCCTTTCCTCGGCATAACAAATCCCGAGAAGGCATGATCTGTTACATGTAAGATTTCCATAATTTCCACATAAAAGACCAGTTTGTCCCTTGCAATAATAGCCAGATCCAGAGTAGCTGATGGAAACAACCTATTTAGAGCACTTTTGCAAATCATGCAATTTTGAGGAAAATTGTGTACTGTATTTTTGTTTTTAAAAAATGTTCTCAGCAATGCAAAAATATTTACAGTGGTGCCTCACTTATCGACGTTAATCCGTTCCAGGAAAAATGTTGCTAAGCGATTTAATTGCTAAGCGATTTTAAAAAGCCCATAGAAACACATTAAAACGGGTTTAATGCATTCCTATGGGCTTAAAAACTGACCTTATGTGAAGATCCTCCATAGGGGCAGCCATTTTCGGTGCCTCTAAAGCGAGGCAAAACAGCGGGTGACCATTTTGTTTTTCCGGCAGCCATTTTGGAACCGCTGATCAGCTGTGCAAAAAGGGTCGCTTTGCCATGATCGCTTCCCTGCGATCATCACAAAGCGATTTTCCCCCATAGGGGCCATTTCATCACTCAACGGAGCGATCACTAAACGAGGCACCACTGTATTGTCAACCTTGCTGGCAAGGAAAGGAATGCTGCACTTCCTTGTCCTTGCCTGCAAAGATCAGACAAGTTTGGATTTACATCTATATTTAGAAGCCACATAAATTAGCACTTAGCAACAGGCATGTTGGGGATTACCACTGGTTTCAGTAGTGCTTTTCTTATTTAGGATTTTCAAGATATCTTTGGTAATCTTCTTCAGCTGGTGCCTTGCTTCTTCACGTTCCTTGCCAACACCATAAAGAAGAATCATGCGCTGGTTACATTCATGACTTGAAGTTTCATCCTTTAATCAAAGGAAAACACATGAATTTTTTTTTAAAAAAAACTAATAAAATATGTACACCAATAATTTGGTAAGGAATTAACAAATATAACATAGTAGGATGAGGTGAATTTTGCATGGAGATCTATCTAAACCAGCCACAGTGCCTATTTTTAACTACTTCAGTATTTATATCACATTTTATTGCTCGTTCTCTGATGACAGAAGGTTCTTTGATCCAGCAAAGACTTTCAGCAACACAGCAGCAAAGGAAGTGTTTTTTTTATTATTGTCCATCTGGAAGGCTCAAACTTTTCAGTTTGCTTGGATTTTGCTTGTTCTGCAAGTAAGATGTATCACTCAAATGGTTAAACCATATCCATCCTGGCTGCAGGGAAGGATATGATAAATCAGGGACAGGCAACTTCTCATGATCTGGAGGCAACATTTGTCTTAGCCTGGACCTTGAGCAGTTACATTCCATCTGAACCACCAAATCTTCATATGGGTCCAGAGTGGCAACTTCCATCTCCAGAAGTCTCAGGGAGGCAAGAATGATTTGCTGTTTGTATCCATTTCTTTCCCAGCCCTGATTTAGGCTGGCCACTTTTCTGTTTCAAGCAAGGTATTTTCTGATCTAAAACAGCCTCAGGAGAGGAGGCAAAAAAACAACAACACCCCACACATGGAAATGGCTTCTGCGAAGCTTCTGAGGCACAACAAAAATTTGGGAAGCAGGATGCACCCTGGAAGCCACACACATCTCAAGGGATGGACTTTATCTACCCTTTTGACAGAGACATATTCGATTATGTATGGCATACAGAAAGCCAACATTTTCTCCCTTCCTAATAACACTAGAACACGGGGTCATGCAATAAAATGAGACAGACTGAAATCCAAAGAAAGATTTTCAATTTTCCCCCATAACTACCATAATTAACTAGCTCAGAAGTCTTCTGGAAGAGATAATTACATAGTTCCACCAAGGGCGGGTTCTTTGCAGTCTCCACATCAGGGCCAGACCCTGACATTAGTCAAAATGAGACAGTCACCTGAGGCAGGGATTGGGAGGAAGCATCAAGATGTTGGAATATGCCATGCACCTTGCCCTGTGTCTCTGAAGCTGACCTGATGCCTGCCGGTGTGACAGAGGATCGTACCTCACTGTCAGTGCTGAAGCAAAGTTCAATGGCTGATCCTACATTAGCCTAAGTGCATAAGAAAAAGGGTGCCATTAATTCTTTGCCTGGGGCAGCAAAATGTCTTAGACTGGACCTCCTCCATGATTACAGGCAGTTTTCTTCCAAAGCAAACATTGGGTGCCTTTAAGTCTGCCTCATCATGAAAAGCATCTGGTTATTCACAAGCAAAATCAAGATGCTGGAAGAGATGTCACATTGTTAGATCTAGCAAGGGGCCTTCAAACATTTTTAAGAAACAGGTACCCTGAAACTACACTTCACCCAGAGATAAACCTTTCTAAGAAAAAGGGTGCCATTAATTCTTTGCCTAGGGCAGCAAAATGTCTTAGACTGGACCTGCTCCATGATTACAGTAAGTTTTCTTCCAAAGCAAACATCGGGTGCCTATAAGTCTGCTTCAGGTACCCTGAAACTACACTTCACCAAGAGATAAACCTTTCCTAAACCATAATTCTCCAGATATTTGGGGCTACAATTTTGGTCAGTCTCAGCTAGTATGGCTGGGGATGATGAAGGTAGAAGCTTCCCCTCAAATTGGAAGGCACAGGATTAGGAAAGCAATGTGATAGAAATATCCTTCATCCAATGATTTTGATGAAGGTTTTGTGAGGGGAGGGATTCTGAGGTGTTATGAGGGCTATCTTTATTGCACAGTAGTGATCCATCATGGTACTGTCCAGTTTGTATAGGACTGATGCTTTATATAGAAATACAGTCTACTTACTTTCTCCTAATGAACTCTTGTCAATTTAGAAAAAAAACACACAAAAACCCCCACACACACATGGAACACAAACACGTACAATATTGCAGCTAACCTGAAAGAGGTATATTCTTAGCCTCGACAAACCAGAAAGCCATTTATTATCTCACAATATGTTCGAGTTACACAACCTAGTTCCTGCCAAAAAGCTTTTAAATTATATTATAGCAAGTGCTTTCTTCTCTTCTGCCAAAGTGTTGCTTCAGTGATTCACATCAGAAAAAGATTGCCAGAATCTAATAAAGCTTAAACCAGAGGTGTTCCAGGACAGATTTTCTTTTGTGTGTGTGTCTACTTTGGAATACAACGCTTGGTGCCACAATGCTTTCGTCATCTTTTTTTTAAAAAAAAATCTTTTGTTTTTGCCTGATATGCTTGGAATAATGAGATTGGGTATTTTCTGATCTATGATGTCAAAAATTCTCCTCTTTCTTTTCAGGAGAGGTAAAAGGAGAGAAACTGAAGCCTAATCCAGGACTTGATACTGATTGTATTCCAACTGCTTTAAATCAACAGGCATCCTAAGATCCTTCCTCTTGTCTGTCTTCTTGACTCATTCGTTTGTGCTATTGCTGTACAGGACAAAGAATTCTGCTAAATGGATATTACCTTATAACAGGCAATCACATCTGGACTAACAGAAAGGAAAGGTGATCAGATGACAACATACATTCAGTCCCAACCAGTTCAACCTTCCAAACACAGGAAAATCCAAGAACTGTTTTCTACTGCTGATGAAGGTAACTTTGTATTTTTCCTTTGTAATTCTTATGCACATTTGCATTCTTTACACCACGTTAATACCCAATTAAGTAACTTGCATTTTAAATTTATTTTACTATCTGTCTGATGTATTTTAAGTCACACACTTCTATGTAGTTCAAAATACTGAAGATATTTGCACTTGCATTCATGCCCTGAGTCCACTGGGCTGCAAAAGCGCAACTTTGAATTCATATTGAATTCAAATTAACATGACTTTTCTACATGAATGCAGAAGGGCTATACAGTGACTTTTTTGCATTTGATATTGTCTTCTACTAGAAACAAGACAAAGAGTAGGATTCTTAAGTGACATTTCCAATTTTAAGAATGAGATAGGGCTGGTTAAGTGTAACCTCCCTTCCTATCCCCCAAAATTGACAGAATTAAAATAAGGTAGAATATAATGCTAGTGAAAGGCAGAATAATTCTTAAAGCACAGTAAATCGGTGATACATAACTCACTCCTGTTTCCTATAAAATGTGGTACCCGTGTGAAGTGTTATGAGTTGTTGGTACTTCCCATACCACTCTGAACACTCTGGTCCTGGTTTGTACTTGGATAGGAAATTGCCAAGAAATTATGGGCTTCCAGATAGGGCAGGAAGGAATCCTGTCTGAAATGCTGGAATTCTGCTTCTAATCAAAGCTGGCAATCCTGAGCTACACGGATCAGTAAAAGACAGCTCTCTATGTTCCAATACAGTGGTGCCTCACTAGACAATGATAATCCATTCCACTGAAATTGCTGTTTAGTGAAATCATTGTCTAGCGAAAAGCATTTCCCCATTGGGGTGCATTGAAACCTGTTTAATGAATTCCAATGGGGAAGAATCGTCGTTGTCTAGCGAAGATCGGCCATAGGAAAGCCGCTTTGCGAACCACCGATCAGCTGTTTAAATCGCTGTCTTGCGAAGCTTAGGTCCCAAAAACACCTGTTTTGCGAGCACGGAGGAAGCTGTCAAAATCGTCGTCTAGCGAAAATCGGTTTGTGAAGCAGGGACCAAACATTGTCCAGCGAAATTCCCCCATAGGAATGACTGTTTTGCGAATCGCTATAGCGCTCGCAAAAAGTCAATGTCTAGCGAAAAAACTGTCATGTGGGGTAACTGTCTAGCGAGGCACCACTGTGTTTTTATGGCATGGTCTATTTCAGAACCAAACACCTAGGAAGGAGTGGTTTTGGTGAAGGAACTCAGGTGGGCGAATGTTCACCTTATCCATGCTTTTGCTTAAGTCATTCCGTGAGCTGCTTTATCTGAAGACCACCATAAACAGATCCCCCCCCCAAAAAAAGTCTGCTTACCATCTTTAGGTTTCCCCATAAGATAAAGATTAAAGAGTCTCCTAAGAGAGTCTCAATTATTAATATGCACAATGTGACATAGCTTTTCTTTCCGGCAGGAGGTTTACCCTATGATACTAAAGACTAAAATCCAGGAGTACTAAGGAGAGGTATTCACAAATATTAGAGATTTTACATTGATCAGCTGTTGCTCATTTTATTTTCACCAATAACTGTTTGTGCAGCTGCAGTTAAGATAAGAGAGATTTGAATTCAGCATGAAAAACACATGTGGTCTGTGATAAGTATTCATCTTGTGTAAAGACACATAGGGTAATTGTGGCTTGTACTGTGAGGGGTACAAAAGATAATGTAGTTTTCCCTTGATAGTTATTATACAATTATAATGTACTTAACAGTAAAAAGCAACAGGAGAAAAGCATGTAAATAATTCAAAAACAAAACAGGAAAAAGTGGTCCTGGATTTAGATAACAGCTGGCTGGCTCTTAAGCTGCTCTATAACACAGAATCACCCCCCTTCCCATAATAGGTGAAGGTAAAGGTTCCTTCATTTTTTGTCCAGTCGTGTTCAACTCTAGGGGGCGGTGCTCATCCCCGTTTCCAAGCCATAGAGCCATCGTTTGTCCGAATACAGTTTCCGTGGTCACATGGCCAGTGCAACTTAGACACGGAACACTGTTACCTTCCCACCGAGGTGGTCCCTATTTATCTACTTGCATTTGCATGCTTTCAAACCGCTAAGTTGGTGGGAGCTGGGACAAGCGACGGGCACTCTGTCGCGTGGATTTGATCTTACGACTGCTTGGTCTTCTGACCCTGCAGCACAGGCTTCAGCAGTTTAGCCCACAGCACCACCACATCCCTCCCGCAGCACCACCACGTCCCTCTGTAGCACCACCACGTCCCTCTACAGTGCCACCTCATCCCTCCGCATTGCCACCACGTCCCTCTGCAGCGCCACCATGTCCCTCCACAGTGCCACCACGTTCCCGTAATAGTTCGCTAGAAATAAACAATTGTTTGAATTACAACTAAGAGCTCATCCACACAGTGGTGGTTTCTCTGGTCGTTCTGGAGTCATTCTGTGTCATTCTGGTATTTCCTGTTGCCAATTTGAATAGATCATCCCAAAATCTATGTCCACATTGGGTGTGTGTGTTGCTAGTTATAGTGGGATTCACTGGAGTGTCCCAGTACTGACTATCCACACACATCCGGAATTGTCTCCTGATATCTCACACATAACACCAACTGCCCTCCCCTTCTGCCTCACTCCACAAACTTCTTTCTCTTCTTCCTTCTCTGCTTGCCTTACTTGTCCACATGATGCAGAAGTGTATAGATTTACGAGCAGAAAAAAATGTCCATAACAAATATTTTCAAATGACCTACTTCCAGAAAGTGGATCAGCACAGACCAATACAATACTGTACTGGGGTCCACATGAGCAATCCTACTTTATAGTAAAAATAGAACAAAAATACACTGCCACCCCCAGATAGCTTATAAAAAGTCCAGGAAAGCAAGAGATTTTGCCCCATTTTAACTTTGTTGACATTAGTTTCAGCCCTCCATTGTGTGGACACCAGAATGAAGTACCGGGAACATGGAGACAAGAAAATTGAACAAATGCCCATTGTGGATAGGAGCTCTCAGACCTAAATTCTGATTGAATGACCAGGATTCATTCAACCAGAAGGTGGCACCAGCATTGTAGAACAATGTTGCTGTTTTGTGCCATCAAGTCACCTACGGATTCTGCTTAAGGTCAAAAATTATTTGTGGTACTCTTGTGTGACATTTTTATTATGATGTACCAGAAAAAAAGAAATCAGCAAAATCAAAACCTCTACATTATTTTCACCTGAAAACACAGCATGTGACACATTACTTAAAGATGGTTCTGCAGTTGTTTTTGCTAGGTTTTTGAGATGCTTTAGGAATAAGTGATAAAGTCCATACCTTCTCCTGGATAGACTTCTGGTTAAAGACAATGTTTCCATAGTTCACCTAATCACTTCCCAGAAAAAAAAAACACCACTACCACCTAATTTTACTCCAACATTTGTTGGCCAGAACACAGACAGAGTTCTAACTCCTGTCCTCTGAAGATGCCAGCCACAGAAAAACGTTATGAAGAAAAACCTTCAGAACATGGCCAAACAGCCCAAAAAACCTACAACAACCATTGGATCCTGGCCGTGAAAGCCTTCGACAATACATTTGTTGGCAATGTTTGAAACATATATTACAGGGCACATTGTCTTCCACAAGCCTTGAAAATAAAACAGCATACTATATAGAGGATTTCCTTTAATAGATCTACCTGCAAACACTCAATCTGCTTTCCAGTGGCCACATGTCCTCTTTCAGAGAGTATAGTGCTGCAACCTGTGTCCAAATACAGTCTCTGATTTGGGGGTCATGTATACATGTATAAACATTTGCCATGTAGTCCCACTCTTACGTCTGAGGAAGTGGACTTGTCCACAACAGCTCACAATAAAATACAGCAGTTAGTCTTCAAGGTTTTGCCTTATGTGCTAGAACAGACTAACACAGCTATCTCTTCTATAAATTCTTCAGGGGGGTTGCTTTCCATATTTGCAAATTTCATTAAAATAATAGCTGATATTGGTGACTGATCTTGTTCTACCTTTTTGTAGGTATAAAATAAAGCCCCAATGAATCCTGAACACAGCCCTCCCGGAAACAGCAGCAACTGCAGCACTGACAACAAGATGAGCCAAGTTCTCTTTCCCTTGCTGTACACTTCTATTTTCATTGTGGGCATAATTATGAATGGACTGGCCATGGGAGTCTTTTTCCAAATCTCCAGCAAATCCAATTTTATTGTCTTTCTCAAGAACACAGTGATTTCTGACATACTGATGATACTAACTTTCCCATTCAAAATTCTCAGTGATGCAAAATTAGTGTCCTGGGAACTAAGAGGGTTTGTCTGCAAAGTATCTCAAGTCATATTTTACTTCACAATGTATATAAGCATTATTTTCTTGGGTCTTATTACTATTGATCGTTATTTGAAAACTGCCAGACCCTTCAAGTCTGTTACCTCTGATAACATATTGGGAGCTAAGATTCTATCCGCAGTTATCTGGATATTCATGTTCTCTCTGTCCCTTCCTAACATGATTCTGACAGATAAGAAACCAACACGTGAGAATGTGAAGAAATGTGCTGACCTGAAATCTGATTTTGGCTTACTATGGCATGAAATTGTAAACTATGTTTGCCAGTTTATCTTCTGGGCCAACTTTGCCATCATAGTTGTATGCTACACACTCATTACACAAGAGTTGTACAAATCCTATAAAAGAACAAGAAGTACAGGAAACACAAACAAAAAAACTATGAACATCAAAGTTTTCATCATTATCGGTGTGTTCTTTATTTGCTTTGTGCCCTTCCATTTCGCCAGAATTCCTTACACCTTGAGCCAAACAAGAGATGTTTTTGAGTGTTCAACTCAGAACACTTTGTTTTATATAAAAGAGAGCACCTTATGGCTGACATCCCTGAATGCCTGCTTAGATCCATTCATATATTTTGCCCTCTGTAAATCTTTTAGAAAATCTCTTCTAAGGGTACTGCATATATGTGCTACTAAAAGAAGAAGAGACCAAAACATGGAAACAACAGATGAGGAAACACCAATGTAGCCCAACCAGATAACTTTATAACATACTAGTGTTTGGCAATCTCTTCACCACACGCCTTTTTTTCCTGCAACAGTGAAGCTGATTATAGCTTCCACGGAAATTCAGAATCACATTTAGTCCATGAAACTAACATCTAGCAGCTTAATGATAATGCACATCACACTACGTATTACTTATGCATTTTCTTTTAACTTTATGGCTACACAAACATTGGACCACACTAAGAGAAACCAAACAGGGTGGTGCTAAAGGCACCAAAAACAAAGAAAGCATCTAAAATGTATTGATATATCCATTCCAAGCTAGCTACATTAAAAGGGAAATAAAAGTGATAAGAAATGTGTTTTCACTATGTATTATACACTAATCTGACTTATATTCAGAAGAACAGAATTGTGTTGCATAACCTTCCAACCAAAAGCCTAATGGTATCAACAGCAAATAACATCACACAGGCTGTCTGCCATGGAATCCACAGTCAGCTGTGAAGAAATAAAAAACAACAAAGCAAAGCAACATTGTTGAGTGCACCCATGGTTGCTGATATGAAAGTTTCAATTAAAAAATTGTTTTCTCAAAAACTCTTTTGACTCAAAGTGCTCTGAGGACTTTTTAGAAACAGTACTATTCTATAGCATGAGGTTGAAGACGTTTACATTTGTATCACTTGTGTATTCATGGTTTGTTTTTGTTTTTTGGGGGTTTTAGTCAAAATTCTGTTGCTCCATTTATGCTGGCATATGATTGATCATGTTACTGGCAGTGGAAGATTACCAGTAATTGTAGAGTTCTTCCTTTGATCCCAAGGCTCACACAACTTGTGAACAATGAGACTGATTGCATTCATCCACACTGACTGAGTCATACTAGCCCTGAGATCAAAGTAGACTCATAGAATAACTGAGTTGGAAGGGACCTATAAGGCCATCGAGTCCAACCTCCTGCAGGAATCCAAATCAAAACAGATCTGACATATGGTTGTCCAATTTTCACTCGGATGCCTCTAGCATTGGACCACTCATCATCTCTCAAAGTAATTGGTTCCATTGTCATATTGCTCTAAGAGTTAAGACTTTTTTTCTTGATATTTGGCCTGAATCTGGTTTCCTATAGCTTGAGCCCATTGTTGCATGTCGTGCACTCTGAGATGACCAAGAAGAAGATTCTTCCCCTCCTCTGCATGACTCTTTTTCAGTATTAAAAAAGGGTTATCATATCTCCCCTCAGTCTTCTTTTCTCAAGGTTTAACATGCACAGCTCTTTCAGTCCTTCCTCATAGGGCTTGGTTTCCAGTCCCTGATTACCTGTTGCCCTCCTCTGAACTTGTAGGAACTGTTCAATTCCCCCTGCTGCAATGTATCTCACCTGAGACCCTATGCTGGCATAATTTACACAACAATGTTATTGTTATTTGTACTGCTATTTGGCTAATGTGTTAAAATATTTTGAATTATGACTTGGTTCTGAAGAGTGCTGAAGAATACTGACAGTTTGTTACCTCTTGCAAATCATCCTATCCCACCAATTTTTGAAAGTTAACCTCTGAACTGATTTTATGGAACCAGCTACCACAATAATTTAAGCAAATAAAATGCACAGATGCCATTTCCATTGTCTAAGTTTACATCAGAATGAAAAATGTCCCCCTTGCTTGTTGCATAGGTAAAGGTAAAGGTTCCCCTTGACATTTAGTCCAGTTGTGTCTGACTCTAGGGAGCGGTGCTCATCCCCATTTCCAAGCCATAGAGCCAGCATTTGTCCATAAACTGTTTCTGTGGTCATGTGGCCAGCACGACTAGACACAAAATGCTGTTACCTTCCCACCGTGGTGGTACCTATTTATCTACTAGTATATACATGCTTTCGAACTGCTAGGTTGGCTGGAGTTGGGACAAGCAACAGGAGTTCACTCTGTCACGTGGATTCGAACTGCTGGTCTTTCGACCTTGCAGCCCAGAAGCTCTGTGGTTTAACCTGCAGCACCACCACATCCCTTACTTGTTGCATACTTATATAATATTGGAAAGCTTGTAAAATGACTAAGACTTGCAAAAGTGTCAAAAGTTCAATTTTAAAAACAACGCTTGAACTTTGTCAGACAAAGGCATTAAGGAATACATTTTATTCTGTCAGGAGTGTGGCTTGAATTGATTAGAAAGTTCTAAAAATTTATTTATTTATTTATTTAGATTTATACCCCGCACCATCTGGCAGCCAGGCATGTCAGAGTAGCATTGCACAAGAAAACAGGTACAGAATTAGGGCTCTTTCAAATATTCATAAATATTTTCAACAGTTGTTTTGAAAGTGGTATAAATAAACACAATTGAAAATATTTACTTCTCAAGCATTAAGACAGTGTTAGAATGCTTCAGTGCTTCATGGGTCAGTTTTCTTTTCTTTTCTTTTCTTTTTTTGCTATTATCCTTGCTGTCCCTGACCTCAGCTGCCCACCTTCCCATCTAACCCCTTGATCTAGTGATATACATATTGGTTGGAATCCTATTGGAGTTCTACACCATCATCAGTCTGATTGCATAAATGGCAATAGTGATTAAGTAATTAGCAAGTTGCTCTTCACATTTTTGTGCCAGACGTACAACTTGGCCTGTGATCAGGAATGCAAACAGCAACATGTTAATCAGCATAATTCACTCCTGCTGTTTACATAATTATACTTACAACAGTGTAAATCCTTGATAGGATACAGGCCAAGTGATTTTTAAGTCTTTAGTTTAGGGTAATCTAGCGTGCCAGCTGTGCCCATTCCTGGGGATGTCTGATATGGCTAAGGTGACACATGCGTTACTTACATTCTGGCTGGTTACTGTAACATGTTCTATGTGGACAGCCTGTAGAAAGTGTCAGGAAACTTCAGCAGGTGTAATGCGCAGCAGCCAGATTGCTGACTGGAGCTGGTTACAATGCTTTTTTTTTCATTAAAAAGGAGAAAACACTGATTTATAGCAGAATCCTTCACATAACTACTCAGACATTATATTCCACTTAGTTCAGTGGGGCTTACTTCCAAATAAGTGGGTACAGAACTACAGTCTTAACTAGAGATAGGCATGAATTGAAAAACAAATGGCAAAGTTTATCCAAAATTGCTAATTCATCAATTCACAAAGATGAAACAATGAATTTTCAGCAATGTTTGATTTGTCAATTTGTTGGGCAATAAAACACACACTCCAGGCACCTAGAGATGCTAAAATATCAGAGACGCTTCCACTGACTCTCCTCTATAATCCCTCAAGGTTTGATGAAGCTTGGGATTCAGATGTCCAAGATATACATCCACAAAGAGGGCCGCCCAGGAAAGTTTCCCGCGAGCACCTAGAGACATCAAAATCACGAAAAAGCTTCCCATGGCTCTCCTCTACACCAGTGGTCCCCAACCTTGGGCCTCCAGATGTTCTTGGACCTTCAACTCCCAGAAATCCTGGCCAGCAGAGGTGGTGGTGAAGGCTTCTGGGAGTTGTGATCCAAGAACATCTGGAGGCCCAAGGTTGGGACCACTGCTCTACAATATCTCCCAGTTTGGTGATAATTGGATTTTCCCAAACCAGCTGCTAAAGGGCACTTTCCTGGAAGGACTCAGTTTGTGGTTGTAGAATTTGGATGTCCAGAACCAAACTTCACTAAACTTGTAGGCCTTGTAGAGATCAGGACTTCACTAAACTTGTAGGCCTTGTAGAGGTCAGGAGAAGCTTCTCTGTGAATTTGGTGTCTCTAGGTGCTGGTGTTTGTGTGTCATTTTATAGGTTTTAAAGGGAAAAACAAACTGACAAATCAATGCATCAATTTGACAGAAAAAAATAAATTCGTAATTTGTGATTTATCATAAATTAAGTCAAAAAGAATCACCACTCTTCTGATTTGTGCCCATCTCTAGTCTTAACCTGGAAAAATCTGCGATCAAAATTTAACACAGGACTCAGCCCATAGATTTGACCATGAGACATCTATCATTCCTTTATACAAACTGAGAAGTCACTATATGGTGTATCAGAAGGCTAGGAAAGGAAGCAACAATGACTTCAGGATGTCATTTCAATTTAACACAAAACTGGTATTAAAGTGTAAGTTTTTGTCACAAAAATACTAAACTATTTCCAAATACTGATTTGTGATTTTTCTTTTATATCCTTAGATGTTAAAGATGGCCTATAATTATATTTTAAAGATTGACTGAATGTCCAGATGAAAATTTATGGGTACTTCTTCTTTAAGAAGGAGCTATTACTTATGCCATTGTCTGCAAATGTCTGCAGTTACCCAATTACAGGAACAGTTTTACCAATGTGTAACCTGGTCTTCTTTGTGTGTTCTTCTTAGAAGACCACAAACAGGAATTTTTGTGACCAAAGAAACAAGAATAGGTCATAAGAATTACTGTAAACAGGGAAGCACAAAGGGAGAAGTTTCTTGGAAGATATTTTTGCCACCCATTGTGCTAGATTGGACCATTCATGGAACACCATTTCTATTGGGTTTTAAAAGAAGTATCACAAACATTAAGAGAATGTCAGAAATGTAAGCATACGCAAGAGTAGAGCAGGGAAAGGGTTATCTGGCTGCCCAGATATTGTTGGGCTCCAGGTCCCATCAGCCTTCACCAACACTGGGATAATGGGAGTTACAGTCCAAAAACTACTTTTTCAATGTGTCAAGTATTTCCCCTACTGTTAATGGCTACTAGTCAAAACAATTTAATGAACACAGTGAGGTTGTTGCTGCAGCGGGCTGGGTTTGCTCCGACCGCCATTTTGTTTCAGAAGAAGTACTACAATTGGATCCAGTAGGCAAAAATATGTAGAGCAAACACCCCAACATTCTCACATACACATATGCACAAAATGTCAGGGAAGCAAGCAAACAATCGCATACATGCTTGGTGAAGGATCACCATAAGCACATATACATGCCCACGGGTTCACACCTACACAGAAACACAAACATCTGCACACACAAGATTACAGACTTACACTCAGGTTGGCTGTGGATTTAAAGACTAGTGGTGACAGAGGGCCTGCAAGCACATAAAGCTCCTCACACAGAAAGAGTAGGGAATTTCTTAAACAGTAAGCCAATACAGGACACAACAGTGGGTGCTTCTGAAGTTCCAGGCTCTTACAAACACTGCAATATTGGACCTAACATATGTTTGCTAAGACCAGGCACACAAGTTTATATCATGAAAGGGCTCTCTAAAAGTCAATGTTGCTTTTGAAGGCAAAGACAAACTCCAGTTTGATAGGTCAAATGTAACTAGCAAAAGAAGAAGTATGGGAAAGGCTACAGCTCGCTTTAGCTCACTTTACATACATGTTCAGTTCTATAACTTTCAAAGGTTAGCCATTTAGTCTGTCACATCAAAAGCAACAATGAAGTTCACCACAAGACAAACAATTTCAGCCGTAGCTCACTTTACATACATGTTCAGTTCTAGAACTTTCAGAGGTTGGCCATTTAGTATGTCACATCAAAAGCAACAATGAAGTTTCACCACAAGACAAACAATTTCAGCCTATTTCATCAGAAATGGACAATCATGTCGCATTGTCCATGAAGTTGCTTCCAACTTATGATGGACCTATAAATTACTGACCGACCAATCACTAACAGGCCCGCCCAGGTCTTACAAACTAAAGGTAATCTTGCTCTGTCTTCCTTTCTTTTTTCTCTTTTCTTTTTTAATATAACAAATATTAAAGCATGAACATCTAACAGGAAGAACTGATACAAAAACCTTCTCTGAAATCCTAAGAAGGCACTGCAAGTCAGTGTAAGTATCAATGAATCAATCTGACCAAGGACATAACTCACAAAAAGGTTTAATTTCTGTATTCCCAGAGCATCAGACTTCACTGGAGTGGAAGAAGCAATCTGAAGGATGTTGCTGTTATTTTCCACTTATTTGTCAAAACATTTTAGCTAATGTATACAGGCACACTAACTATAATATATACAGAAGAATGTTAGCACAGAATTAAATGAACTATAAGTAAAATGAAATAAGCTATTGTTAAAAGAAAACATTTGAATCAAACTAAGCTTTAAAAAGTACTTAAAAGTTTATTAATAAGAAAATGTAGCATTCAAAAGTAATTAAAACGAATTAAAAGTATATTAGTAAAAAATACAGCATTTCATTCTGTTTCTCATTTTTCCACTTATTCAGTCAGTTTCCCTCTGTATTTTTTCGTAGTCCCTGCTTTAAATGAAAACCTGTTCTATATGTCATACTACTGCATATTTTCCAATATACTAAATCAGTACTAAATATCAAGGTCTAACCATGTGATATGTGAACACCTTCCTTGAGATCGTTAATACAGGAAGGAAATGTGCCTGGTGAAAAAAATGAGGAAGAACATGTTTATAAGACACAAGACAGCTTGTGAAATCAGGCTTCTCTACTGTTTGTACAGTGGCATGAGGTTGTCTAGTACAAAAGTAGTTGTCACATATCCTGCAACAAAAGGTAAGTTATTTTATTCATGGTCTTATTTTACATATTCATATATTTAATCGTTATTATCAGGCTACTCACAAAAACATTTCATTCACAGAATTCTGCAAAACAATTAGAAAATTTACTGTTTATATACAAAGTGTGTTTATATCATAATGTAATAATCACATATAAACTTACTTGCTCTGTGTGTGTGTGTGTGTGTGTGTGTGTGTGTGTGTGTGTGTGTGTGTGT